GGGCTTGAAGGGGAAAGAATACTAATTAAAAAACCCCCAAGGGTTATGTGTGACTCACCTCTACTTGTGCTAATAGGCTTAGATCTGTCTTAATAACACTTTAACATTTGAGGAGCTCTTTAGAGTCTTATAGATGGTTTCATAACCTTTTATTTGATCTTAAGAACAATCTTCGGTTTGTAGGATGGAGTTGGAAGGGTTGGGACTGAAAGATGGAGCTAATAATAGTGAACACCCACCAGGTGCCTGGCATTTGACTGGATGCTTTATATTCATTGAACCTTTTAACCAAATACCATGAGGTTGATGTTAATAATTTCAATTTTGAGAGAGGCTTGTCTTCCTTGGTCTCAGAGAAGTTAAATGACATGCCCGTGGTCAAGCCGGGAGAACCCAGGTTTTCCTACTCACAGTCCCACCTGCTTTCCACTTGGCTGTTTCACTTTCCAGCACGCCAGCCATTGCTGCTGCCTTCTCCACTTGCTGTATCCTTGATTCAGTCCACATCTTCTGGCAGCAAGGACGGGTGATGCTATAATTGCAGGCCCAGACTTAGAATAGCTTTTTGTTTTTGTTTGTTTCAGTGAGCACTTCCTTACAAGCCTCTTACAAGCCCGATGGGGGTGGGGGCAGACAAAGAAAAGCATATTGGATTGGAAAAGACACCTAGTTTATAATCTATGCTAAAGTAAATTGAAGTCTCTGGGAATGTCTACTTTTGTTTGATTTTTATTAAAAATCTGGCCGCAATGCAGGCTATTTGAGTGGCCCCAAATAACACCTTGGCTCATCATTTTCCTTTGTTGTCAAGTGGGGTGATTGTTAAGGTTGACCTACCTTTCATGGATGTGGAAGGGTATAGGTGGAATGAAAGATGGAAAGCACTTTGTCCTCACCCGAGGACATTTTTTTCCCCCATTTTTGTTCAGATAGAGTGGGAGGAAGAGAGAGGAAGAGAGAGAGAGAAACATTGACATGAAAGGGACACACTGAGTGGCTGTCATCCACACTACGAACCAGGGCCGGGGACAAACTGCAACCGAGGTACGTGCCCTTAGCGGGAACTGAACCCGGGTCTCTCTGGACCGCAGACCGATGCTCTAACCACTGAGCCAAACTGGCCAGGGCTGGAAAGCACTTTGTATTCCTGCATATGGAACCAAAACCTCCTGAATCCCCTTTAGTGTCATCCAAAACTTGGACTTCCTCTATTATTAGATTTAAAAAAAAAACTTGGACTTCCTCTATTTCTGAATAAAACACACATACACACAGAATCAAACAATCCTTGCACAAATGAACTATGCAATTCGATCACCCTTTCTACTTTAAACTTTCTTTGCTAAAATTAAACAGCACAACACTGAGGAGTCCTCTATACTCTTCATCTACGACACCAGCTCCTGCCTACATCTATGAAGTGTTTTTGCAGGCAAGCCAGAACTGGAGGTTTTCTTCCATAACACCCTGATGAAAGAGCTATCTTTTTTGTTGTTGTTGTTGTTTTTGGTTGTTGTTATTTATTTATTTATTTTGTTAATCCTCACCGAAGGACATGCCTTTCATTAATTCTAGAGAGAGTGGAAGGGAGAGGGAGAGAGAGAAACATTAATCAGTTGCCTCCCGCATGCACCCTGATCGAGGATCGAACCCAAAACCTGAGTATGTGACTTGACCCGGAATCAAACACACCACCTTCTGGTGTATAGGATGACACTCCAACCAACTGAGCCACACTGGCCAGGGCTACTCACTTCTGATTTAACAGTAATTTATAAAAAGTACCCAACATTTATGATGTGTTCATCATGTGCCAGACACTACACTAGTTAGCAGGGACATGTTTACAACTAAATCCCAGAGGTAGGTCCTGCCTTCCTGGAGCTTGTAGTCTAGCTGGAGAGACGGCCACTAAACAAGAGAGTCTGTATGTGGCAGTATAATTACAACTGTAATCAGTGCTGTGAAGACAAAACAGGAGTCCTTTGAGAGCACCAAGTAGGGGGGATCGGGAAGGCCTCCCTGAAGTGGGATTTCAGAGGTGATCTGAAGGAGTAGGAGTCAGCAAGCTGGTTGGAGGGGACTGTTGCAGAAGTTTGCTCTGAGCATTGGGAGCAGCAAGCGTGCCAGGTGTGAGGCAGGAAGGGTCCTGGGAAGTGTGAGAGGTCCCTGTGGCTGAACAGTAGTGGGCTGAGTGATGGGAAATGAGGGCAGAGAGCTACACGGAGGCTAGATTGGGGAATGCCTCAGAGGTTATTTTAAGGATTTCTAACTTTATCCTCACTCTACATTACACCCTAATAAATAATGTTGATATCTCCATCTTAAAAAGAGGAAATTAGGACTTTCAAAAGCTTGATCAAAGTCATATAGTCATTAAGGAGCTGAACTGTAATTCGAGTCTGGGTTGTTTTCTTTGTTTTATGTAAAGTGTGTGACCAAAAACCTCCTAATCATCACCGAGTGCAAGCTAGTTAGAAATACAGAAATAATAGAGCTGATCAAATGAGTCTTTAGGCAACATTTAAAGTTAATGTAACAATGTATTTTATATTTGTAAGGACTGAAAGGGTTGTGAGCAATCTATTTGTTATTTATAAACAGAAAGTTGATCAGTATGGAAGATAATTGAAATTCCTGCATTAAAAAAGGCCTCAAAAAAATCACACAATTCAAATCGCCTGTCTGTGCTTTTCAGTGAAAGATATTCTTTATTACATCATTGAACTTATAACTTATTTCTGTCATTTTAGACCATTGGTTTGACAAAAACAAAGCACAGAAAATAAACCCTATTTGTAACAATGTCTTAACATAAATGACATAATGATTCAGTGATTTTTGACACACCCAAAAAACAATAACAGAATCAACACTGACAAAACACACACAAAAGATACTGTAGAAAATTGTTGATTTATTTAATGTGACTGCTACTCCTGGTAATGCCATCATTGGCTGCAGAAGGTGGGCATTGGTATGGTATGGTAAACACTATTATAAACAATGAAAAATAGAAAAATATCAGAGGATATTATACATAAGGTAAATGTTTTGTGATACTTGATTATGTGTGTATACATATATACATGTGAACACATTTAGATACACACATAAAACATGTACATACAAACACATACAATAGATTTCATTTACACTGCATTGTGATGTAAATCTTATTTCTTACTTTGGGTCCCATTCAGAAAAGTTTGACAGTCACTGGTCTGGAGGAACTGACACACTGTGAGCTATGCTACGTCTATGCACTCTTTGGAGTGAGAACAACTCATTAAGATAAATTCCTGACCATTTTCATGGATAACTATTTACTCTTCCACATGTTGGGGAAATCCTGTGTGCTAGCACAAACAAAATGACAGCTGTCATTGTATGAAAGTACATGTTATATCTTGGTTAAGTTTCTTAATTCACCCAGGAAGAATTCAGTGTAATCCATTGTTATGCTATTATTTGCAGACTTTAGGAATATAACAGAAATCAATGGAAAATTCCAGCTAGAAATGGTATTTGTCTGCAAAGGACTAAATAGAGTCCAAATCTCATTCTTTTAATACTTACATTAAATTTAAGCCTATTTTAGGATTTCAGATATCTGATATCATTTGCAATTGGTATAATAATCCTTGACTTCAAGGAATGAAATAATTTGAGAACTAGAATATCATAAAGGGTGGCTGGCTGCAATAGAATTCTTGTTTTGCAGCATTATCCTTGATTTTGGGAAATAAGTATTATTACCTTTAATGATTTTTCTTAAACCAAAGAAGCCTACCTGAATACTTAGTGACTGACTTAGAAACCCAGTGATAAACCTACTGCACTCTTATTACACAGCTCATGTTGGAGAAACACACATTTTTTAGTATAGCATTTAATCTTTTAAAAAATATTTTTAATTTTATTTTTATTGTTGACATTAGATATCCTAATTTTACCCTGCTTTGCCCACCGCCACCCCATCCCCACTCCCCCTTCCTCTCACCATCATCACACCGTTGCCTGTGTCTATGGGTTATGCATATATGTTCTTCAGCTAATCCCTTCACCTTCTTTATCCAGTCACTGCCCCTCCCATCTGACAGCTGTCAGTCTGTTCCATGTCTCTGTTTTTGTTTTGTCGCCATCACCATTTATCCCCCCTAATCATCACCAAGTGCAAGATAGTTAGAAGTCCTCCACCTCCATCCACCCCCTCACTCCCTGCAATCACTACACTGTTGAACATGTCCATGAGCTCTTTTAGTACTTAATCTTTGAAGTATGTAAAAATGATTATACTCTTTGACCAAGCACGTGCTACTCTGAAAAATTTTAATGTAATTAAAGAAGAAAACCAGTAATCTGTGCAGATATTTTTTAATAGCATGTTATTTGCCACCGTGAAAAACCTGTACAATGCTAAATATCCAACAATTGAGAAATGACTCAATAATTTATGTCAATTTGAAATATTAGGTTACCATTATTTTATAATTAGAAACTATATTTTAAATTCAATATAGAAAAGTGCCAAAAAGAAAAACATAAAAAATAGATTAAATTTTTATTTTGTAATTTCTTATTCCTATGATTTGAAACTAGACATGTGACATTTTCTGCTATGTTGTGTTATAATTCATTTTCTGTGAGCAAAACAGAATTCAGCCTTCAGTCTTTTAACTGGGAAAGTTATTTAGTTTTATTTAGTTTCAGTATATAATGGACTCTATAAAGCTTCTTCAATATTAAACATAAATTTAAAAAATAAGCATCACAATTAACCATGTAACCATATAAAAGACAGATGAATGTTAACAGTAGAAACATTGAATGTGTACTCATTAAGATGTTAATTAACATTGCTCACTGGTGGAAATATAGGTGATTATTTTTTCTGCTTTTGCTTTTACATTAAAACTTTTTTTATAATTAATATACTTTTATAATGAGATGAAAATAAACATTCTTAAAGGAATTTTTAATGATGCTGGTGGCTAGAATGCCTTGTTTAGTGAGAATAAGTAATGATTCAATTTTGCTTCAAATTTGGATTTAAATAAGGATTGAATTAAATATATAACTTCATATCCTTACTCTCCTGGGTCATTTGCTGTTTCATTATTAATTAAACTCAATCTTTGTTGTTTCCCTTTCATTATTATTACTTTATCACAATTATGATTTTATATGCTTGGAGTGGAAAATTAGTTAAGCAGGTTTATGAAATGCTATGCAAAGCTGAAAGAGTAGTCAACTGAAACATCTGAAAGGCCTCCCCATTAGCTCATTCCTGAACTGAGGGTTAAAGTAGGCTATTCTGAGGATCCCTCCAGGCTGGCTTTGCAGGACACTGTGGTTGGAAAAAATGGGAAAAATGGAGGGTTAATGTAACACAGTAACTTATTTATGCAACTGGAAAAAAAATAACATAGGTCTTAGAGGTAGGAAAAGCTGATTTTCTTTGGATTTTATTTCTCTTCTAACATATCTGTTATATACAGGGGTGGACAAAAGTAGGCTTACAGTTGTTTGTGTGGAAAATACCATTATAAATAAATAAATAAATAATACAAGAATAAACTCTGTGTTTTGCATACTCATAATTGTAAACCTACTTTTGCCCACCTTGTACTTTTTTCTTTTTAAATTTGATCCAATGTATTAGTTAAAGCCCAGTCTGGGTAGTTCAGTTGACTGGAGTGTTGTCTGTACACCAAAAGGTTGTGGGTTTGATTCCTGGTCAGGACACATATCTAGGTTGTAGGTTTGATTCTGGTCGGGGCAGTTGGGGCAGGTATGGGAGGCAGCAAATCGATGTTTCTCCTTCTCTCTCTACCTTCCTCTCTCTCTCAAATCAATAAAAACATAGCCTTGGGAGCCCTGGCCAGTTTGGCTCAGCGGTTAGAGCATTGGCCTGTGGACCAGAGAGTCCCGGGTTTGGTTCCTGCTAAGGGCATGTACCTTGGTTGCAGTTTGTCCCAGTCCCGGGTGGGGTCATGTGTGTAGCAACCAGTTGATGTGTCTCTCTCACATCGATGCTTCTCTTTCTCTCTTCCCCCCTCTCTCCTTCCTGCTCTATCTGAAGATAAATGCAAACAGTCCTTAGGTGAGGACTAAAAAAACCAAAAAACAAACAAAAGAAACATAGCCTTGGGAGAGTATTAAAAAATAAAAATAATAAAGAATTTAAAAAAAATTTAAAAAGGTATAGTTAAATATTTCCTGGGGGAGGGGGGAGTAGAAGAGGGTAAAGGGGGGATAAATGGTGATAGGAGACTCGACTTAGGGTGGATAAACACCCAATAAACTGATGATATATTGTACAATTGTATACCTGAAACATATGTGATTTTATTGACCAGTGTCATTCCAATAAATCCAGTTAAAACTATAAGAAATAATAAAGAAAAAAATAAAAACACAATTCAAGGATAAGAGAAAACTATATAAATAATCTTATTTTAAAAAAGAATAGTTTATTGATTTTTTTAGAGAGAGGAAAGGAGAAGGAGAGAGAAAGAAACATCAATGTGAGAGCATAACAATGATTGGCTGCCTCCTACACACCCTACTGGGGCTGAGCCCACAACCCTGGGCATGTGCCCTGACCAGGAATTGAACCAGCAACCTTTGGGTGCACAGGATGACACCCAAAGCCACACTGGCCAGGGCTATAAATAATCTTTTAAAATCAACATTAATATCCCTGGAAACATGAGAAGATACTGCACAAATCAAGAAAATGAAATTACATATTTAAAAAGAAGAATTTTATAAACAAAAAGAATGATGGGGTAAAAGATACAGCGATGGGAGGAGATTTGACTTTGGGTGGTAAACTCACAATGCAATATACAGATGATGTATCATAGAATTGTACACTTGAAGCCTATATAATTTTATTAACCATTGTCACCCCAATACATTTAATTTAAAATTTTTAAAAATATATATATTTCCTTACAAGTCCCTAGGACATAGGCAAAGAACAAGGAGGGTATAAACACATATATTTTCTTGTGGGCTTTCAGCACCTGTCAAAACATGCCAGCTAGTCTCAGGCCTTGGACCAGATGGCAAAAGTTGGCATTTGTTATGGACCTAGGCAAAAGTTGGCAATTTGCCTAAAATACATGATCAAGGCTCCTTTCATTTTTATCAGCAGGTAGATCATAAGGCCAAACTCCAGTATATGACTTAGTTGCTAAGGAAGAATTGGACCTGCGCACTGGCCATTATTGAGAGGATTAAAAAGTCTAGGTGACCAACAGCTGAAATGCCCCTGGAAATGTCTCATTAGGGCCAGAAAGGAAGCCAATAACCCCTATAAATGTGGCTTTGGCTCAGGTGCTATCCTTTATGAAGGCAGAGTCCCCTCCTTTCCCCTACACTCTCTGTATTCATTCATGCTGGGGCTCTGAGCTTTCCTGTGGGAGGCCTGCCTTTCATTAAAGTTAACAGATGGCAGGGGTGGGCAGGAGTATCTGGCAAGAATTATAAGTTCCACTAAAAGTAATTTAAAAACAGTCCAAAAATTTCTTCAAATGAGTTCATGTCTACCTGAAGAGCTGATTTTAAAATTAGGAGTATGTAGGATCAATAAGCTTCTCAGCTGGGCTCAGTCCCCTAGTCAGATAGGAATTTACTGAGGACAAGAGAAATCTAATTCTTATTGAACAGATGATGACATTTGGACTGGGGCAGTTGTGTCCCACTAACAAAGCATGTAATATTCTTCACTGCTGGAGTGGCTAATCCTGTCTTCTCTTGAGTTAGCTGATGATTGCATTTTGCAGGAGTTAGCCATGAAAATCCTTTTAGTTCAAAAACAGCAGCTAGATCTATCGTTTTGTTCTCCCAGCATGCTTTATTATCCTTCTTCTTCTGGTTTCTATCTTTTGCCCTGCTTTCCCTTTGGGGAATTTCCCCCCTTAATTCAGGAGGCCTTAGGAGGTATACTCAATTACAAGATAAGTACATGATCCAGTCCTAGCCAGAGTATGCCATCTCCCTGGCCATAGTGATCAGTTTAGCAAAAGTCATGTGACCCAAGCAGGACCAATCAAAGCCTTCCCCGGGAATTTTCAGCTGGGCTACAATGGAAAACAGCTTAAAAAAAAACTATTTAGGGGAAGTGGGGTTGGGGGCCTGGTTGAAAGATGAAGGGATTAAGACATACAAATTAAGTTACAAAATAGTTGTGGGTTATAAAGTACCGCATAGGGAATATAGTCAATAATATTGTAAGAACTAAATATGGTGCCAGGTGGGCACCTGAAATATTGGGGGAAATCGCTGTAAATTATGTGATTGCCTAACCACTATACTGTATACCTGAAACTAATATAATGTGAATGTCAACTGTACTTGAAAAATAAAATTTGAAAAACTTTCTTTTTTAAAGTGCACTCAGACTGGCTGTGCGTTTTTATTTTTTCATATTTTTTAAATCCTCATATAAGGATATTTTTCCATTTATCTTCATATTGAGTGGGGGCAGGAGGGGAGAGAGAGAGAGAAAGAAAGAGAGAGAGAGAGAGACAGAGACAGACAGACATCGATGCAAAAGAGACACATCAACTGGTTGCCTCCCACATGATCCCGACCAGGGCGGGGGACTGAACTGCAACCGAGGTATGTGTCCTTAACTGGAATTGAACTTGTGACTCTGGCCCACGAACCAATGTTCTAACTGCTAAGCCAAACCAGCCAGGGCTAAAAAACTGTTTAAAATAAAAAATTGTAAACATCTGCAAAAGCAGTGAGAATAATATGTAAACCCCTCGTATCTAACACCCAGCTTCAACTTTGATCAACTCATGGACAATGTTGAAAAAGGATAAACTGTCTTTTTCCACTCGGGCTGTTGGACATAGAATAGTGCTTCTAGCAGACATGATATCTGTCAGTGTCTGCTGCCCCTATACTTTTTTTGCTTAAGCAAAATTTGAAGGATTTCTGTCATTTGCAAGGTGTGTTGTCTAATATAAAAATCTTAAAGAAACACTCAATAAATAATTTTTTAAATCTTGTGTTTACTTTTGAAGTATTTGGGAAATAGAAATTCATGGAAAATCTTTAAAACGAATAAAGGAGAAGGGGCGCTCTAGACATATTAAAACAAGAACACCAGCATTTTAACTTTACTTGGCCAAAGGATAGTTTCAGTCTCATTGAAATAGCAGCCATCTAAATAAGTATTTAAACTATATAACATAAATATTATTAAGAGATATAACAAAGGGTGAATATTTTCACCCTTAAAATAATAATCAAGCCTCCAAACCCATTCAGAGTCTCTGATTCTGAATTATCTTCAAAGCAATGAATAAATAGACACAATCACTCCTACATCAGCATTCTGGTATGCCATTCTTGAGTATGTAACGAACTATATTCCTAGCTGTTTCTTCACCATCCATTTTGAAAAGACAATACTTACATTTTTGCTTTGCTAGTTCTTGTCTTAGATCTTCATATACTTGTGAAAAGAGTTCCTCTTCAGATTTTGTACCATCTAGGTAAACTGAAAAGGGAAAAAGAGAGCAATTCAAATACTGACATTAATATAGGATGCTTACTTTGGCATCTGGTATCTCTTGAAAATACCAGTAGGTTTAACCAAAGAATCCAGGAGCATAAAGTAAAAATAAATTAATAGCCAATAAAAAGAGAAATAGATTATAGCCAGAAACAACAGGTAAAAAAATATTGGTTAATTACAGAGAAATGCACACTATCTGATGTGAACATTATTAAAAACAAACAAACAAACAAAAAACAAGAAAGAAAGATAAAAAAGAATTAAAAGGACTGAAGAGGTGCCTCTCTGAAAGAATCATGTAAGGGAGTTCTCCAACTTACTTATGCATCAAGATAACTGTGAAGCTTCTTAAACCATGTAAGGGTCTGGGCTCCCCCATATGTACCGAATCAGAATTCTGCAGGCCTGGAAGATTATGTATTTTTAATAAAACTGGCATAGTCAGTTTCAGAGAAAAATTAGTTATGTATGTTAAAGGAGGGAAAAGGCCTCCTAGTCAGAAAATTGCAGAGGTAGGGAGGTAGGAGAGAGTTTTGCCCATTAAGAAAAGGATCCCAGTTTGGAAAGCCTAGAATGTGGGGAGCAGAAACAGTGGAGAGGTGAGGTTTTAGAGCAAGGCTGTGGCTTTGTCCTTAGAGGCCTTGATGTCTGGCTGTGGGTTTCACTCGAGAGCTGGAGACTCTTTGAAGGTATTAAGCAAGGCAGGGACATAGTTAGGTTTACATTTTAGATGGAAAGGGAGAGAGGAGCAGGAAGAGGAGGACGCCTCTGCAACCAAGGTCCAAACTACAAGTATTGTGTCTAGAACCTCAGCAGCATCTTGGGGATGGGGAAAGGAGATGAACTTGACTGAAGAAGAGATTATAATGGCTGCCAGACCCTGGAGAGGCCCCTTGTCTGCACGGCTCAGACATAGCCACCCTGGAGGCCACAAAGCTTCTCAACATAGGCAACTCCCTTTATTCTGAAAAGTATACATCAGTTCTGCTTCCCCTGCCCCAACCAAGAACCTTCTTTTTCAGCCTCCTGTAGCCTCTCCATGTCGAATTCTGTATTCCAGAGGTCTGTTCTGAGCTTGTGCTCATAGATCCAGATGTTTATCCCCCAAATTGCCACTTTATGTCTCTCAGGCATCTCAACATTATGTGCAAAAGAGACTTGCATTCTTACCTTATAAACTTGCAACTCCTTCAGTTTTTTCTGTTTTCCAAAATAGTACCTGCCAGGTTCCCAGGTGTTGTTTTTGATATCTCAATGTCCTGCACCCTCCGTATCTACGCTATCACCCAGTTCTATTCAGCTATGTACAATATAGCACCCTCTACACCCACCTTCCACATAGCCAGAGGGATCTTACTAAAACAAGAATCTGGTATTTATCATGTCCTTGGTTCAAACCTCTCTGTAGAGGGCTTCCTACTTTTCTTGGGATAATGACCCAAGTCCTTAACTGGCCTATGGCCTTGCAGGGTTTGGATTTTTCCTATATTACAAGCAGCACTTCCTGTCCTTGGTTTTCTCTATGACAAATACACCAACCTTCTTTCGGGTGCTGATCATTCCTTCCCGCCCCCTGGTCTTTTCATGTACCACACCCATTGTTTGAAGTGATCGTCCATCCCAACAGTCTTCCCTTTGTTCAGTTAACCCTATCAGAGCATGGTTTACATGAGGCTGGACCACTGGAATGTAGGCAGAACCCCAGGAACTCGCTGACACGGTATTCAACACAGCTAGAAAGAACATGCTTGTGCAGCTACTGTGTTTAACCTCTGCTTCCCTAGTAGAATGTTTGCTCACAAGAGTAGGGACTGGATCTGCCTTATTTCCCTTGACATATATCACCAGGGTGGTACCTGTACACAGAAAGCATTCAATCAATATTTAATGAATAAATGACCATCTAGAAGTCAATAAGCTACTGACAAGAGCCAAGGAGAGAAGCAGAATCCAGAAGAGCCAGGTATGGAAGATGGGGAGGCCAGAGTGTCATGGCTTAAAATGTTCCTTTAAAATATAATACATGAGATTCCAAAATGGTGGCGGAGTGAACGGAGCTACACAGACCGTCTCCCAGAAACAAACTGGAATTACAACTATAACACAGACAAATCGACAGAAAAAAGCAACAGAAAAGCAGCTTGTGAGGACCATATAACCAGGGACACTGACTCGATCCTGGTACGCTTGCAAAGGCGCAAGACGAGGGCTGGGAGCCTACGGTCAGCAGCTCGGCAGCGGCCTTAGCTGGGAGCAGCGCCCTCGGGTTACACTTCCAGGCGGCTCCACAGTGCAGCCGGGACAGAGGCTGAAACAGCCACAGCCACTCACCTTGGGCTCCGGCAGAGGGAGGGCAGACTGGACTGGAACTGTGTGGGGACACTCGGCATTTGGAGGGCGCTCAGAGCTTTTGCTGAGTGGCAGCCACGCAGGACGGTGGCCATATTGCTCCTTCCCAGGGTTCTGGGGAGAGGCAGCAGCCCCTCCCTCGGAGATCCAACCCCACCCTGTGGGCCATTGAAATGCTAATTGAGGCTCATTAACAACCAGCATCTGCCCCACCTGCTGGAAATCCTCTTATGCTGAGCACCTGAGGGAGTTTTTCAATCAACTGACAACCCAAACCTCTTCAAGTAACCTCGACTGCTAGCCTCCAGGCAAAAAGCTAGAGGATAACAGTAACTTTCCTGGGCTAGCAACTTTAACCAGGGAAGTAAGACGTGACAGTGGTGTTTAACGTGGGTCCTCCCTCACTCATCTAAACCTAGGAGAGGGAGCCACAAACAGCAGAACACCAACACCCACAGGGAAAACTTGACAGGCTCCAAAGCCCACTGTGATAGCCAAAATGGTGAAACACAGAAACAGAAGCCAAATGAAAGAGCAAGAGACCTCCACCGAAGATGAGATCAATGTGGAGCAATTAGGCATGTTAACAGAGCTAGAATTCAGAGCCATGATCTTGAGGAAGCTCAACAGCATGAGTAAGCACGTAGAGACACTGAAAATCAGCCAATTGGAAATTAAAAACCATCAAGAAGAGATAAAAAATGACATATCCGAAATGAAAAACACATTGGAAGGTTTAAAAAGCAGAGTAGAGGAAGCTGAGGACCGGATCAGTGAATTAGAAGACAGGGTAGAAAAAGTCAACCAATTAGAAAACCAAAAGGAAAAAACAATTAAAAAACAGGAAGACAGTTTAAGAGAACTGTGGGGCAACTGGAAACGTAATAATATTCGCATCATAGGAGTCCCCGAAGAAGAAGAAAATGAGCAAGGGTTAGAGAATATCTTCAAAGAAATAGTGACAGAAAACTTTCCTAATTTGGTGAAGGAAGAAGGCATTCAAGTTCAAGAAGCACAGAGAGCCCCAAGTAAGAAGAACTCAAACAGGCCCACACCAAGACACATAGTAATCAAACTGCCAAAAATTAAAGACAAAGAGAGAATACTCAAAGCAGCAAGAGATAACCAACAGGTTACCTACAAAGGAAACCTCATAAGGCTCTCAGCTGACTTCTCAACAGAAACACTACAGACCAGAAGGGAATGGCATGAAGTAATCAAGGTCATGAAAAACAAGGATCTGAATCCAAGACTACTCTATCCAGCAAGGCTATCATCCAAAATAGAAGGTCAAAGAAAGAGCTTCCCAGACAAAAAAAGGCTAAGGGAATACATTAGCACCAAACCAGCACTGCAAGAAATGTTAAAAGGACTGCTGTAATTAGTAGAAGAAAAGGAAGAAAAATATTACCAAACTAAACAAAAATGGCAATAAACAAGTACATATCAATAATCACCTTAAATGTAAATCGATTGAATGCTCCCATAAAAAGACACAGAGTAGCTGATTGGATAAGAAAGCATGACTCATCTATATGTTGTTTACAAGAGACCCACCTCACAACAAAAGACTCACATAGGTTGAAAGTGAAGGGATGGCAAAAAATTTTCCAAGCAAACGGAAAGCAAAAAAAAGCTGGGGTAGCAATACTCATATCTGATAAAATAGATTTCAAAATGAAGGTCATAACTAGAAACAAAGAAGGCCACTACATAATATTGAAAGGCTCTATCCAACAGGAAGATGTAACCTTGATAAACATATATACACCCAATATAGGAGCCCAAAATATATTAAAAATCTTCTGGAGGACTACAAAGGAGAAATCGACAGCAATACAATCATAGCAGGGGATTTCAACACCCCATTGACACCACTGGATAGATCCTCTAGACAAAAAATTAGCAAGGAAACAGAGACTCTATATGAAGCACTAGACCAAATAGATTTAATAGATATCTACAGAGAATTACACCCCAAAACTACAGAATTCACATTCTTCTCAAGTGCACGTGGGACATTCTCAAAGATAGACCACATGATAGGACACAAACTAAATCTCTACAAGTTCAAGAAGATGAAATCATATCAAGCATCTTCTCAAATCACAATGGCATAAAACTAGAAATCAATTTCAACAAGAACATGCAAAGACATTTGAACACATGGAGGCTAAATAGCATGTTATTAAACAATGAATGGGTTACCGAGGAAATCAAGGAAATTAAAAACTTCCTAGAAACCAATGAAAATGAACACACAACAACACAAAATCTATGGGATGCAGCAAAAGCACTTCTGAGAGGGAAGTTCATAGCACTACAGGCCTACCTCAAGAAACAAGAAAAATTTCTAATTGACTGTCTAACTTCACAACTTAGAGAATTAGAAAGAAAACAAACAAACAAACAAAAAACCCCAGAGCAAGTAGAAGGAAGGAAATAGTAAAGATCAGAGCAGAAATAAATGACATAGAGACCAAAAAAACAAAAAAACAAAAAAACACCAATTCAAAGAATCAATGAAACAAAGAGGTGGTTTTTTTGAAAAGATAAACAAGATTGATGGACCCTTAGCTAGACTCACCAAGAAACAAAGAGAGAGAACCCAAATACACAAAATCAGAAATGAAAGAGAAGTAACAACCAACACCACAGAAATACAAAAGATCGTTAACAGCTACTATGAACAACTATATGGCAACAAATTCGACAATTAAGCAAAATGACAAATTTCTAGAAACACACAGTCTCCCAAAACTGGACCAGGAAGAGATAGAAAACTTGAACAGACCAATAACAACTAAGGAAATTGAAGAGGTAATCAAGACTCTCCCAGCAAACAAAAGCCTAGGCCCAGATGGTTTCATGGGGGAGTTTTACCGAACATTCAAAAAATAACTAACACTCATTCTCCTCAAACTATTTCAAAAAATTCAAGAAGAAGGAAGACTTCCAAACTTGTTTTATGAGGCCAGCATTATTCTAATTCCAGAACCAGAAAAAGACACTACAAAGAAAGAAAACCACAGGCCAATATCCCTGATGAACATAGACACCAAAATCCTGAACAAAATACTAGCAAATCAGATCCAGCAATACATCAATAAAATTATTCACCATGACCAAGTGGGATTCATTCCAGGGATGCAAGGCTGGTACAATATTCACAAATCAATAAACGTGATACACCACATAAACAAAATGAAGAATAAAACCACATGATCATATCAATAGACGCTGAAAAAGCATATGACAAAATCCAGCATCCATTTCTGATAAAAATGCTCAGCAATGTGGGAATAGAGGGATCATATCTCGACATAATAAAGGCCATATATGAAAGACCTACAGCCAACATCATACTCAATGGGCAGAAACTAAAAACATCTCTCTTAAGAACAGGAACAGAACAGGGATGTCCACTTTTGCCACTCTTATTTAACATAATACTAGAAGTCTTAGCCACAGCAATCAGACATGAAATAAAAATAAAAGGGATCCAAATTAGAAAGGAGGAAGTGAAACTGTCATTATTTGCAGATGACATAATATTATACATAGAAAACCCTAAAGACTCCATCAAAAATGTTCTAGACTTTGCCCTGGCCGGTTTGGCTCAGCGGTTGGAGCATTCGCCTGCGGTCAGGAGAGACCCGGGTTCGGTTCCCGCTAAGAGCATGTACCTCGGTTGCAGTTTGTCCCCGGCCCTGGTTGGTCGTGCAGGTGGCAGCCACTCGATGTGTCCCTTTCACGTCGATGTTTCCCTCTCTCTCTCTTCCTCTCTCTCCTTCCCACTCTGTACAAAAAATGGAAAAATGTCCTCGGGTGAGGATAAAAAAAAAAAAAAATGTTCTAGACTTAATAAATGCATTCGGCAAAGTAGCAGGATACAAAATTAACGTCAAGAGTTCGACGGCATTCTTATACACCAATGATGAACTCACAGAAAGAGAAACTGAAAAAACAATCCCATTTACCATCGTGGGAAAAAAATTAAGATACTTGGAAATAAACTTAACCAAAGAAGTAAAGGACCTATTTGCAGAAAACTACAGGACATTGAAAAAAGAAATAGAGGAAGATATAAAAAAGTGGAAGCACATACCTTTTTCATGGATTGGAAGAATTAACATCATTAATATGTCCATACTACCCAAAGCAATCTATAGATTCAATGCAATCCCCATCAAAATACTAATGACATATTTCACAGAACTAGAACAAATACTTCAAAAGTTCATATGGAACCAAAAAATTCCCCGAATAGCCACAGCAATTTTGAAAAAGAAGGACAAAGTAGGTAGGATCACAATACCAGATATTAGGTTATACTACAAAGCCACTGTAATCAAAAGAGCCTGGTACTGGCACAAGAACAGGCATATAGACCAGTGGAACAAAACAGAGAACCCATAAATGGACTCAAGGCAATATGCTCAATTAATATTTGACAAAGGTGGCAAGAGCATACAGTGGAGTATACACAGTCTCTTTAATAAATGGTTTGGGGAAGTATGGACAGCTACATGCAAAAAAAATGGAACCAGACCATCAACTTACACTATACACAAGAATAAACTCAAAATGGATAAAGGACTTAAATGTGACCCGTGAATCCATAAAAATTCTAGAAGAAAATGTAGACATCAAAATTTCGGACATCGTATGCAGCAGAATTTTCATTGATACATCACCTAAGGCAACAGAAACAAAGGAAATAATGAACACATGAGACTACAAACTAAAAAGCTTCTTCACAGCAAAAGAAGCAATCATCAAAATGGAAAGTCAACCCACTGCATGAGAGAACATCATTGCGAATGATACATCAGATAAGGGGTTAATTTCCAAAATACATAGAGTACTCATACAACTCAACAAAAGGAAGACAAAGAACCCAATTAAAAAATGGGCTGAGTAGCTGAATAGACACTTCTCTAAACAGGACATACAAATGGCCAAGAGACATATGAAGAAATGCTCAACATCACTAATCATCAGAGAGATGCAAATTAGAACAACAATGAGGTATCATCTCACACCTGTCAGAATGGCCACCATCAGCAAATCATCAAACAAGTGCTGGCGAGGGTGTGGAGAAAAGGGGACTTTAATACACTGCTGGTGGGAATGCAGACTGGTGCAGCCACTATGGAAAACACTACGGTGTTAGCTCAAAAAATTAAAAATTGAACTTTCATTTGACCCAGTGATCCCGCTTCTAGGAATATACCCTAAGAAGCCTGAAACACCAATCAGGAAGAATATATGTATCCCCATGTTCATAGTAGCACTATTTACAATAGCTAAGATCTAGAAATAGCCCAAGTGTCCATCAGTAGATGAATGGATAAAAAAGCAGTGGTACATATGCACAATGGAGTACTAAGCAGCTGTAAGAAAAAAAGATCCCTTATCCTTTGAGATGACATGGAGGGACCTGGAAAGTATAATCCTAAGTGAAACAAGCCAAGCAGAAAAGGACACATACCACATGATCTCACTTATATACGAATATAATGAACATAACAGTCTGAGTAATACGGTAGACCCAGAAACATGAAAGTAGGGTACAGACTGATAACCCTGAGAAGGGGGTGGTGGGGGTGGGAAGAGATAAACCACAGAACTAATATGCATGTATGCATAACCAATGGACATGGACATCAAAGCCTGGGATCGGGTGGGGGGGATGGGGAGGAGGGTGCCAAGAGGGTAAAAAAGGAGAAACATCTGTAACAAAAATAAAATTAAAAAAAATATATATAATACATGAGAGATATGCCTCCTGAAATCTTTTGTGTACTTTGAGGCATTGACATGTAAATGGCCTTCCGTGGAGAAAGGGCACTTACCAATTTCCCACGTGATGTCCTCCATTTCTTGTCTGTGCTTTAGATACATGGGCCACACGTGGCCATCAAAATACCCTGGGGGGTCTGGAGGCTTGTAGACCCTTGTGCTATCAAAACATGTAGGACATTTTATGTTGATAGAAACTCACAGTGATAAAGTAAAATCACAGTGGTCAGGATAATGAGAAAATCACCCAGAGATTGAATTTAAACAAGATTAGGATTACACATTTTAGACTCAATGCCAGTTACAAAGACAATAAAATGTATTTGGTTCACTCACCCCAAAATTATCTTATATTTCACTGACTATCATTCATATTATCTCCTCCCCACCCTAGTTTTTTAAAATAAAATAATTACAAGACAAATATCAATGTAAATAATGATAGGAAAAATGATAGGTTGGATTAATTGGAGTTCTTTGTGGCTGTAGCAGAGTACAGGCCAACTAATTTCAAGTAATAATCAATGACTTGTTGATTTCATTTAAAGATTCATTGTTTCATTTGAAGATTCGAGAGGAATGATCCAGATGGCTCCTACGAGAGCCTTTTCTTAGAAAAGTAATTTGTGTTAGTCCACGTGGATGATTATTTATGGAAAAAGGTTTTGCTCATTGTGTAAAAGAGCTGAGACTTCCCCTTGTTTGAAAAATGGCATATACACATTGCTCAATAACGTCACTTTCCTTTTTTGTGTGTAAATTTTGTCTTTTGAATCATCATCTACAAAGGCAATTTCAAAACTTACCTCCTCCTCCTCTTACATTCTTCATATGGAATGGTCAGAAAGTAGCTTCTATTCCACACAGGGTCGAGGGGCCTAAGATAACAGCATATTTAGTTAGTTCACAAGGTTTCCTCCCATTCATCCCGAGTCGGCATTTGAGTGAGGATGCTTACTTATAATTAAAGAGAAGAAAACCTTCGATGATTAATATGGGGACTTCCTCAGCACGTCCCCAGGCTGTTGACACCAGAGTGTGTCTCGGGCTTTCCATCCAGCAAGAAATGGTGGACATCATTTTTTCCATGTTAAGCGCTTCAAGCACTTCAAACAACATACAAAAATATGAAATCAGTACAAAGAACATTTTATGACACAGCTTTTTATGATAAGTATATCCTGGGCTCTAGAAATGTATAAAAGAACACTATTTACCCTTCAAAAAAACCTAATAACAAACCTTTTTTGGATACTTTTAAACTCTAATATTGATAAATTGGTATGCTTGAAACACTTTTCTTATGGAAAATTTGAAACATATACAAAAGTAGAGAGAAAAGTACAATGAACTCCTATGTCACCGTTAGCAGCTTTGACAATCATAAACTCATGGCTAATCTTGCTTTATTTAACTCTTACTACTGCCCTGACTACATACAAGTTTAACATTTTTAGATGACAAAATATCTATAAATTAGTTTGAAAGATACATGACACACTGAGGAAAATATCTGCAATGTATTTGGTAAAGAGCTAATATTTTTAATACAGAGCTCTTACAAATAAATAAGAGAAAAATCATTGAAAATTTTCACAAAGAGCACAAATATGTCATTTTCAAACTTTAACATGTGCATACTTCCTGAGCTTACAGTTATACCTCTATAAAAGTAACTATGAAAGTGATTGTGAAAATGTGGTACGTAGATCAGCAGCATCAGCATCACCTGGGAACTTGCTAGGAATGCAAATTCTGAGTCTCACTCCAGAGTCCTGAATTCAGTCATCTGGGCTTAGAGTTTTTTTAGTTAAATAAATTATGGACTAATTTATTTAATTGATATAGGGCTGCCCTGGCCGGTTTTGCTCAGCGTTTAGAGCACTGGCCTGCGGTACAGAGAGACCCGGGCTCGGTTACTGCAAACTACTTGGTTGCAGTTTGTCCCTGGCCCTGGTTGGGTCGTGCGGGTGGCAGCCACTTGATGTGTCCCTTTTATGTCGATGTTTCTCTCTCTCTCTCCCTCCCACTCTATCTGAACAAAATATCAAAAAAAAAAAAAAGTCCTTGAGTGAAGATAAAAAAAATAAAACAATATATAATAGATATAGGGCTATTAAGATTTTCTCTTTGTTCTGGTGTTAGTCTTGGTCAGTTATATTTTTCGGGGCAATTGTCAATTTCACTTACGTTTTCTAATGTATTTATATAAATTGTTTATAATACTCTTTTATCTTTTTAATGCCTGTAGGATCTGTAATGTTATTACCTTTTTTTTTGGGGTTTTAGTATTTAAATTTGTGCCTTTCCTATTTGTTTCTGGATCAGTGTTGTATAGCCTGTTTGAGGATCACTCAGATTCTTGCATATGTAGATTTATGTCTTATGCCAAATTTGAGATGTTTTACACCATTACTTTTTTTTCTTAATTAAAAAATATTGATTTGAGAGAGAGAGAGAGAAAGAGAGAGAGAGACATCAATGTGTTGTTCTACTCATTTATGCATTCATTGCTCACTTCTTCTATGTGCCTTGACCAAGGATTGAACCCACAACTTTGGTGTATGGGGGTGACACTCTAACCAACTGAGCAACCTGGCCAGGGCACTTCTTTAAATACTTTTTCAGCACCATACTCTTTCTCCTCTCCTTCAAGACTCCAATGATATATTGAATCTTTTGTTATTGTCTGCATTTCTGTTCATTTCTTTTCAGTCTATTTTTTCTGTTGTTCAGATTGAGTAATTTCTACTGTTCTGTGTTGCAGTTCACTGATTATTTCCTCTATCGTTTATTCTGTTGAGATCCTCCAGAGAGTTTTAAAAGTTCAGTTATTGTTTGTTTTCAGTTCTAAAATTTCAATTTGGTTCTGTTTTACATCTTGCATTTCTTTACTGAAGCTTTCTGATTTTTCAGTTGACTCAAGAATGTTCACAATTGCTTGCTGAAGCCATTTATTTATTTATTTATATTTATTTATTTATTTATTTATTTATTTATTTATTTATTTATTTATAATCCTCACCCGAAGATATGCCCTTGGCTGGATTTGAACCCAAGACTGGTCTGAGGGCCGATGCTCTACCGCTGAGCCAAATTGGCCAGGGCACAATTGCTTGCTGAAGCCTTTTAATAAACACTGCTTTAAAACACTTTGTCACATAATTCCAACATCTGTGTCAACATGGAGTTGGTGTCTGTTGATTGTCTTTTCTCACTCAAGTTGAGAGTTGCCTGATTCTCCATATCACAAGTGATACTCAGTCTTGTCCTGGAAATTTGGGGCATTATGTTGCGAGGCTCTTAAGCCTATTTAATCTTCTTTTGTGCAGGTAGTCACCTGTTTAGGTATAGGGTGCCAAGGTTGGGCGATGTTTAGCTCCCTGCTAGGGGTGGGCTGCCATGGTGGGGAGTAAGGGAAAAGCAAAGTGCTGGTAGTAGCTGACACTATCCATGGGAGGAAAGTGTGGACTACCAACTACCACCACCTCACACTGCCTCATCTGCTCCTCCGCGGCTAGGTGAGGGTGGAAGTTCAGTCACTGTTTGGTTCCACTGATATGATACCTATGGATGACATGGGAGGCCAACTTACCCCGCCTTAGTAGTGTTGGTGGATTCAGAAGTCTTGTTCCCCGCTTGGCTCTGCCAACACCATGAGGGGAAAATGTTTTTTCCTTTTTTGTTTGGCTTGAGTAGGGTGGATATTATCAAACTGATTTTCTATTCTGCTAGGCCACCCTTTTTCTGGTCCTTTGACTAGGGAACAGGTTTCCTGGTTTATTTTTATTTTATTTTTTATCTGTGTCTATTGATGTTTCCATGTTGCACACTTCTCCAGCATTCCTTCCTGAATGAGTAAGAGGCAAAAAGAAAACTCTGGTAACTCACAGCCATGTCATTCCTCAAGTCTGGAAGTCCCTAGTCAGTCTGGTCTCTTCTTTTTATCTTTCAATCTTTCAGAGTCTTGCCTTTGTTGTATTCCATCCAGGGTTTTTAGTTGTAAGAGAGAGGAATAGTTAGGAATGGGGCCAATCCATTTGGGCTGGAACCAGAAATATCATTAGTTTTAATATATTTTCATTATTACTCAGTTTAAAATATTTTCTAATTTTCATTGTGATTTATGCTTTAACCCATGGGATACAAAAGTGTTTTGATTCAGATACAATGGGATGATGTCTGGGATTTGCTTCAAAATAATGTAGGAGAAAGTGAGTGAGGCTATAGATCAAATATAATTGGTCATGAGTTCATCATTTTTAAAGGTAGATGTTCAACTAATGAGAATTCATTATACTTTCCTGCTACTTTTGTATATGTTTAAGAAAAAGTTTTTACAGAGACACAGATACATAGAACAGCCTGACAGCTGTGAAGGGGATGTGGTGGGGGAGGGGGGAACTGGATGAAAGAAGGCGAAGGGATTAGCCAGAACATATCTGTATAACCCATAGACACCGACAACAGTGTGGTGATGGCCAGAGGGAAGGGGTGGGTGGGGGCTGGGTGGAGGTGGGCAAAAAGGGGAAAATGGGGACATCTGTAATAGTGCCAACAATGAAAATAAAGTTGAAAAAAAAGTTTTTAAAAATCAGAAAAATAAAAGGTACTGATTATTTTCCAAACACTTGGGACTTTACTACTTCCTCTTTAGTCATTGATTTCTAATTCAGTTCTCTGTGATTGAGGGATGTCTCTGTATTACCTGAACTCACTGAAATGTACTAGCCCTTGCATATGCGTCCATTTTGGTTAATGTTCCATGTGTCTTTGAGAAAGAAATGAGTATTCTGCTGTTGCTGGATGAATATTCTATATGTGTTAATTTAGTCAAGTTTGTTCATTGCACTGTTCAAATCTGTTATGCTTTATAATTTTTGCCTGTTAAGTTCATTAGTTTTTGAGGAAGTTGTATTAATTTTTCCCACAATAATTATAGATATGTCTATTTCTACTCTTAGTTTTGGCAGTTTTTACTTAATGTATTTTGAAGCTATGTTATTAGGAACATGCAGATTTTAGATTGTTTATCTTTCTGTTGAATTGATCCACTTATCTCTCTTTATCTTCAGTAATACTCTTTGCCTTAAAGTTTACTTTGTCTGATAGTAATATAGTTTTCTTTCAGTAGGTATTTGCATGATATACTATTTTTTTCTAGTCTTTTACTGACTACTTCTCTATGTATTAATATTTAAATATGTCTTTTATAAGGAGTTGGTAGTTGGCTTTCTAAAAGAATCCAGTCTGATAATATTTGGAGTATTTCAGTTCATTTAACTTAATATAGCTAATGATGTATTTGTTTTAAATTTACCAGCTTACTATCATTTTCTACCTTTATACCATCCTTTGATTTTTTTTAAATCTCTGTTTTTTATGTATTTTAACGTACTTTGTATTTATCAACTATATTTTAATGATTCCATCTATTTACAATTCCATCTATTGATAGCTACATATTTAAAAATTTAAGAGTAAAGATTTCAACATTATCATGACTTACCTTAAATTTGTACATTTACCTAAAAAGTTCAGATTTTTCCTCAAGATAGATTCCTGGAAGTGGCCACTTGAACACATGGGATGAATATTTTAAGGTCTTTGGGACATATGCTTAATCTCCTCTCCAGAGAGTTTGTACCAATTTATGATACTCCCATCTGTGACAGTTTTTGTTTTATTAAAGCCAGTGCCATCATTCAATAATTATCATTGCTTTAAAAATCTGTTTACTAAGTAAGTTGGGAGAAAAGTAAGCTATAATCCTTTGACTACCTTTAAGGTTGACTTTTTATTGCACATTATCAAATAACCTTTTGCTTTAGTGAATAGCTTATTCACATCCTTGGACATTTTTTCTATTGGGATATTAGTGTTTGTTTTTCTTATTAGTTCGTAAGGACTCATTTAAATTAAGAATAATTCTTTGTCAATTGTTGAAAACAGTTTTTCCTTGTTTAATACTTTGTAATAATCTTCTTACTAAACTTTAGAGGAATAGAAAAGAAGAAAAAATATCCTGGCTGCAGCTTAAGACACAAGAACAGACAGCAAGTCAGAGACTTTGCCTTTCTTAAAACTATCATGTGTCTATAAGAAATGACTACACAACATTTTACCTCCAAAGCTATCAAAGTGAAAAATAAAGAACATATTTTATGGCTTCTGAAGAAGCCATAAGCTTCTTGCTAGTTGGCATAAGCTCTCAATATTATCTTTGTTAATTATAAAAGCTGACAATATCATTAAATATAGCTTATTTGCATGCTATTCTTTATAGGAAAATAAACGTTTTCTGATGGCCTTTAATCCTTTTGCTTCAAAGCAGTGTTAGATTGGGTAGAGGAGTGAGGTGAATCCATCTGAAAAAATATTCACTATCCTTTTTGAACAATGAAAAGAAAAAACCAGAAGCATAGTATCATCTTGGTCACTGGGCAAGAAAGCTCAGAAGATAAGTGCTTTGAGATTCCTCCAGGTAAGACTGCGGGTAGTAAGGGAAGTATAGTTAGTTATGCATTTCCCAAGCAGGGATGGCTAGAGTAGTGGTGAACCCACCTTGCCCCAACTTCAGAATGAAACTTTGCATCATTCCAAAGTTTTCTGTTTTAAATATAAAACTGGGGAAAAGATTTCATTTTTAAAAATAGGTGAACACAAATCCAAAACCTTTACAAAAGCAGGTTTAAAGTACAGTAATATATTTAAACACACTTTGAGGATGTCTTCATAGATAGCAAAGTATCTGGGCTTGAAAAAGAAAAGGAACATTTTACAAGCTCGTCTACTTACCATCATACTGCAGAAATCCATTTTTATCTGTCTCTATCTCAGACTCTGGCTGAAAAAAGAATAAAGTACCCATAAAACTGTGCAGCGCAGAAATAATACAATTATAGAATGAAGAGGCGATAAATTATTAAATGCATTGGATGAGGAGGATAAATAAAAGCAAAGAACAGCAGCAAATAATGGTGCCATCTAGTGGATATGTAACACTACTGCACTGACTCTATCTTCACTACAAAAGTTGTATCTCTCCGCAAAGGCTTTTTGGATGTAATTCAATGAACTTTGCTACTAGAACTTTTGTGTTAAATAAATTATCTGAGAAGTTTTAAAGATACCTTGAAGAAATCATCCTGAGATATGACACTGCAGTTTGGGAGATGTTTCTGCAAATTTTTAGCCAGTGTTGTCTTCCCACCATTTGTCACACTGAACCAAAAAAGAAAAAAAAAAATTTTTTTTAAATTATAAATAGTAAGTAGAAAGATGCATTAAAAAACATAAAACATTTAAAATTAAGTTTGAGAAAGAATATTTAAAACCATAGGCATGAGTAGACCTGATGTAATACATTTTAAGAAATAAGCTGGACGGATTGAGAAAAAAGGTAACTAAATACTGGGCAAGAGAATTGGGTAATACCAAGACTTAGACTTAAAAATACAGCTATTGTGTTGGAAACAAACACATATTTTGTCTATGGTGAAACATTCACAGGGTTCATATGCAACACAAAGTATGAGTAGTACGTTTTAATGCAAGCACATAAAGCTACATGTTATGGTCAATGCACAGTGGAGAAAAATGGAGGAGTGTCTTATTACAAGCCCACTTATCATGAATTCACATCTCCCTCTATGACATCCCCTTTTCCCCTAATGTCTATACTTTGGGGCTAGGTGGGAGGTCCATTTAGCTGATCACACCAGCCAGGTGAGGTGGTTCCATAGTCCTTATGTCCAAAGCTGGGCATAATAGACAAGAAATGACAGAAATGATAGATTTTCTCCAGTGTCACACTGGCACATTGGCGGAGCAGCCATGTGGAGACTGAAACCATCCTGAAGCAAAGTAGCATCTAACCAGGCCTTGCCTCTGGTATCAGTTCCAGAAAATAAATGATAAAGTAGGCAAACTTTGCTTACTGACTCTCCTGTTTTTCTGTTTATAGGGAAACTCTTCCATCTCCCATTGGCATTTATGTCCCAGTGCCCCCTGTTTTACATTGGAGAGTGGCCTGCTTTCTCCAGGACCCAGGAATCCTCACTGCTTCTCCTCCCCCCATCACGTCCACATGAAAACACACCCTTTGGACATCCTGAATGTCTTGATCAGCTGTTTGTAGCAAAATTACTCACCCACCAATTCCAATGACAAATGTTTTCATAATTAGTTTTGAAAATGTCTTCCTAAAATTTCCTAAAAAAAAAAAAAAATCAAATGCTTATTATTTCAATGTCTGAAGAGGTAAAAGAAAGAGTCCTAAACTAGGAGGGCCAGCAGAGGGGGTACAATGGTTATCCTACCCCTGGATTACCCACATTCACATTGTACAGGCACAGCTCATAGTTACTGTGCTTTCAGTTCCAGACCACTCTGTCATAAAGGGAGTCATAATCTTTTTGCTGGCACAGGGTCTTGCCTTCAGTTTGTAAAAAACACATCTGTAAAGCACAGTAAAACGAGGCATGCTTGTACTGGCTTCTCTCTGCCACACTCCCCTGCTAAGTGCCAACAGATGGTGCATGTGTAGCACCTGTTATGCCCAAGAGAACTGAAAGGGCCCCCGTGACAAAGCTCATACCCTTGAAGGTCTGTGTTCAAGGCTGCGGAAGAGTTGCTAAACCGCAGAGCACACTACAGAGTTTCACACTCTATCCCTTAGCCAGATTGCCTTTTACCTGCATGATTCAGTCACTTGGAGATGATGACCTACCATTCCCATGGAGGGAACTGAAGAACAGACATCTCTCCTCACCCCCTCCCCTTTGAGGGCATTCTTTTCTCACCCAAAAGCCTAGGTCTAAGGCCAGGGTAGACAATTTTTTTTCAGAAAAGGGTCAGGTAGTAAATATTAGAGGCTTATAGGTCAAGAGGCAAAATCCAGGTTATTATGTAGGTATTTATGCAAGAGAAGACAACACATTTCCATACTTTTTTTGATGACAGTCAAAACATAATAATAACTGAGTACAACTAACTGACTTTTGGTAATACATGTCTACTAATGGGAAGAACGGAATTCCTTATTTTTATATGGATAACACTTCCCTTATTGGATTTGAAAGTTTGTGCTCCCTATCAGAAAATTGATGCAAATGTTGAAACAGAGGGCCAGGTTTTAGCCACAGGTCTAGGGCTTGGAGGGCGGTTTCATGCATGGTTATCTAAGGTTCACCACAGCAGCCCCTTCCAATGGGAAATTTTCACCTTTTTCAGTGAAAAGGTAAAGGTCACTGGAGGGAACCTTAGAAAAACTGTTCTTTATTCCTGACTGCTTCGGCTGGGTGATCAGGGGCCTATGTTGCATTGCTCAGGGTGAGTGGCCCCTGAGCTGGAGGCTCCCAGCAGCCCTTTCCATCCCTGTCTCTGACATGGGTCCAGCCTTCCCCTGGGGAGAGGTGGTGAGGTGAAGAGCCTGGTGGAGAGAGAGCTGTTGTTCCTTGGTATCTATTCAATTTATCCTGAATATTCCAAATTGAGAGTAATTGCTTAAGGTTTGGTTCCACTTTCATTAACAAGCTTATGTGAGAATAGAATTCAATAATGACTGTGTTAAAAATACAATAACAGAACAAGTTGAACGTCTGAGTTTCACTAGGATTTGCACTGTTGAATATATAATCCACCCAAGTTGACAAAGCATATCAAGGGAACAATTGTTACAATGAATACTATAAATTTTTATGCTATAATTGTCAACTTAAGAAACATCCGAACTATGAGTTTATTTGAGCTGAACATGACAATTGCTGGGAAGCAGAATCTCAATGGACTGAGAAAATGCTCTGGAGAATGCAAGTTTTGCAGCTTGTTTTATACATTAGAAGCAAAGGAGGGGACAGAATGGGGGTTACATGACATTCATTGGTGATGGATTAGGGAGGCAGGAGAAAGCAAATTGGGAAATCTCAGATTGGATAAAGAGCAAAACAGAGACTTCTTTTACATTGGTGAGTACAGGACAGTTAACAAGTAACATTTATAGAATATAGATATGGTATTTGGGGAACAATGTAATAATGAGGGGTTCTGTGGCCTCCTGTCCTGGTGTGAGGTTATAGTCTGAGGGGTCTGGAAAAATGAGGTTACTCAGACATTCCAAGGGTTTATCTTGGATGCAAAAAGACAACAAACAGGCTTACTTAAGGTAAAAACTGAGCCTTTGCCAATGCTACAGGCCCAGGATGTGACCACCTGCCATGACTAGCTTTTAGTCAGGAATATTTTTGTTCTGGCCATCCCATGTGGTTACTTTTAGTCTCGGAGTTTGTAAGGACACCAGACAGGCCTTCCCTGAGCTTGTCAGGTTTAGTTTGCGGCCCCTTTTTTGTCCACGTAATTTTTCTGCTTTTGAATTGTTTTACCCTATTCTTATTTTTACTATGTCGGTGCAAGGGTGGCAACTATTCTTTTTTGGGAAGACAAAGGCTAAGCTTTATCCTGAGATGATACCTTTCTTACTTTTTGGGTGATAAATGTCCTTTCTCTTATGAAATTGTGTTTGTAGTAAATAGTAGTAGATTGATGTCCTCACTTGGCAAAAAAAAAAAAGAAAAAAATCATAAAACTTTGTCATTCGTTGCCCCCACCTCACTTATTTTTGTATAGTTCACCAGAACATTAAACTCTCAAACCCAAAGAAGTACAGACTTAGAGAGTCTACCCATTCATTTTGCAGAAGGTGAAACTGGCCCAGAAAATGGAGTCACTTGCCCAAGGTCACACAGCTAGCTAGTAAGCTTTGGAAAAGCGAGAACAAAACTAGACCTCTTTTCAAGCTGCTAAAAAGTACTTTATTACAAGAACAAAGAAAAAATAGTACATATGTGCTGGCTTGTGAAGTTCTCATGTATAATTAATGTCCTTTTTATTGATGTATTATTGATGGGTGTTTATTTACTGCACACACTGAATGGCAAGAACCACTGGTACCCTGTGCTTCTTTCTACATCTGTGCAAATGCATGAGGATATTATATTAATTACGTAGCATGTAAATAACAAGTGAGTGTGATTGTGGCCCTGGAAATAGGCTTGAGGGGATTATTTGGGTGGAAACTCTAGCAATTCAAAAACTAGGAATGAGGGAGAGTCAATAACCTACTATTATAAAATCTCTTGGGCTCAGGAGGGAACTCACCGAGTCAAATGCAAGTTTTTACCAAAAGAGAACCCAACCCTCAGTTCTTTATTAGTTTGCAGTCAGCCTGTCCAAGGCAGTGTTTGGGTAAATGTTGGGTACAGTCCATTAGCAATGAACAGATGTCAATGTGGCAGGAAGGGTGGGGAATTGGAAGAAGCAGAAGCAAGACCTGTGGCTGGGATGAGTAGCTGGGGTGGTACTGGGCATAGCAATCCCAGAAGCCATTTATTTCAGAAACAGTTGGATGCACATGGTAGCTTCAGGTAAATTCTCAGTTCAGGCCTGGCACTGCCCACCTCAGCACCACATTCTGTCATTTCACTGCCTGTGGCCCACTTTAAGAACTATTTTAAAATCACATTAAAAAAAAAAATCCTCACCCAAGTATATTCTTCCATTTATCTTCAGAAAGAGTGGGAGGGAGAGAGAGAGAGCAAAACATTGACTGGAGAGAGACACATAAAATGGTTGCCTCTTGCACAACCCTGACCAGGGCCGACCAGGACTGGGGACCAATTGAAACTGAGATATGTGCCCTTGACTGAATCGAACCCAAGACTCTTTGGTCGGCGGGCAGATGCTCTAACTGCTTAGCCAAACCGTCCAAGGCTAAAATCACATTTAAAAAGCTTTCAATCAAGAGTTGCCAGTCTCTAAATACAGGGGTGGGCAAAAGTAGATTTACAGTTGTTAGTATGGAAACTAATGCAATGATTAGTAAATAATAAAACAAGAATGAACTGTTTTAGGTACTCATTACTGTAAACCTACTTTCGCCAACCCCTGTATATGCAGCAGCAGACTCCATGAAGCAAACACAAATTTGATCAACTACACACTGTTAATCACTGAATGTCTCCAGAGAGACAACCATTTAGACTTTCCAGCCTCATCAATCCAGGGCATCCAATTACTAGGACTATAACCCACCTCCAATCTCATGGGATATTTATGCACTTTCCTCTCCCAGTAAGTGCAAAGCTTTCCTTAGCAGCACAGAGCACTTGCATAGGGGTACGAAAACTAATTATGATATCCAAGAGCAAACCAGAAATAAGTAATTTTAATAATTTCTAATACCCTTTTTTACCCTAAGTAAAATATGCTATTGAGTACTTTTTTTAAATAGCTGGTGTTTGTTATATCTCATTTATTTCACTACTAAACGTGGTACATTTTGAATTCTAAACTGCAAAATGGTCAGAGGTGGCATGTGCAGAATCAGCAGGTTATAAGAAAATAGCAACTCCCTAACACAAAGAATTTGAAAGATGGAATGACAATATGCTAAGGAAGTGTTCTGCTTTTCCACGCACTGAAAGAGCAGTTAGACATTTTTAAAAGAGTGAAACGTTTTCAGGACTTCTCATTCATTTACTTTATTCAATAGATATTTTGGTTATCTTCTTCCACGTGGCAGGGAAGTCTTTTCCTACTATTGTTTAAACTTTGCTCCCTTTTGGTAAACAGAACTGTCCCAAGGCTCAGGTTTCTGAATATGCAAACCATCCCCCTTTCCCTTGGAATCACTATCTCTTTCACTAATCCCTAGTATTAATTGCGAAGCTTCATTTTATGGAGACTCTTCTGTAGAAAGTCCTTTTATTATTTTCCTTTTCACTTTTTCTTTCCCCAAACACACAATTGGTTTATAATACTGACTGCTATTTCGAAGTTATGAACGCTGCATTTCTTGTGTGCTCCAGTCCTTGCCTCCCACTGGCGACTCAATTTGCTAGGTTACCGGTGGGTAAACTTTTGTCAAGTGCCTGACAGCAAACGTTTCCGACTTTGCGGGCAGCTGTTGTGAAGTGAAAGCGGCCACAGCCAACACGTAAGCAAATGACCGTGGCTGTGTTCCAATAAAACTTTATGGACACGAAAATGTCAATTTTATATCACTTTCACGTGTCACAAAACATTCTTTTGATTTCTTTTCAGCCATATAAAAATGTGAGGAATCATTCTTGGTTAGCAGGCCATACACGAGGCAGGCGGGCCGTAGTTGGTCGACCCCAATGCTATGGGAATAAAAAAAACCTCCTCCCGTGGTGATCCAGATCTGGTCCCGGCCCGGTGACTTCCCCACAACCTGGACGATCTCTGGGAGGCCGGCTCCCATTTTAAGGATTACTCTGGGCGTTGAAGCACTAAACCATTCCGAGTACACTTGGCAGGCCACGTCTCAGCTCGTTTAGGGTGGTAAGAGTCCCAATGGGGCTTGTAAGACGCAACTAGGTGGGGGCTCCAGCGCAGGAACACTCTGGAAAGGCTTCTAGGCCCCACTCGGCGAGCGGCGCGGCGGGGTCTGGCAGGTACTCACCCGGAGCCCGTTCTAGTCCTCCCAAGCAAAGCGGCAGAGGCGATGGCCCAGCGCGCGCTTGTCACTAACCCGCCGCAGCCCCAAAGCTCTTTAACCGAGAGGCCACAGCCCGGTCCCTTGCGCCCTAACCAGGTCAGATGCGGCCCAGGTAGAGGTCACCAACCGAGGGATCGGTCCCACCCCTGCAGGAGGCGGTGCCCGACTGCAGCCCCCTTAGGGCGGGGCCGGGCTCCACCAAGCGTGACTCTGCGCGCGCCCCTTTCTCGTCGGGGGCGCGCGCGGCCGAGCCTGCCCCGATGCGAGCCCGCAGCGCCCTGGCTTGACTACGGCCGGTTCCGCCGCCGCGCGCGCCGCCGTGCGCGCTGCCCGCGCTCCCGCCGCCTGCGCCGCAGCTGCCAGCCGAGGAGCCAATTAGCGCTCGCGAGGCGGCGGCTACTTCCTCGTCGGCCCGGCCGCGCGCTTCGGACGGCTCCGGCGGCCGCGAGGCGGGGCGGGGACTGCGCTGAGCCGCTCTGCTTGCGTCCGCTGCTCCCGCAGCCAAGGGTGGGCGCAGGTCCTTGAAGGCGCTGCACTGCAAGGCAGACAAAAAGAAACTCTGGGGCGCCGGGTGTGCCGGCTGGCTCGGCGTTCAGTTGGCTTTTCCTGCGTGGTCTTTAGGATCAGCTGCTCCAGGAAGCGAGATGTCGAAGCCGCCACCCAAACCGGTCAAACCAGGTAAGGGAGGTGTTCGCTTGGTCCCCTGACCGTCTTGGTGCCCTGCGCTGACTCTGCCACTTGGCAGGGCAGAAAAGACACGTACCCGGCCCCCAGCCTCGTTCTGGAGACGCGACCCACCGGGATGGGAGCTGTTAGCTTTGTTGCGTTCGCTAAAGAGGAGGGATCGTTTTGGATAGCAAGAGGATTTCGAGGATTTTTTAAAAGTTTATTTTCAAAGAGGAGTCGCCCTCGGTTTTGCAACACTGACATTCTCTGCGACTTTCAAGCGGGTGTGATGGCTACGTCCCATTGAAGCTTTCCTGGTAGACAGGGCCACTGATCTCCCTTAGAAAAAAGATCTTAAATAAATGTCTTGAAATGGTCTTGTAGACACTTCCTTTCTCTTAGCCCCCCCACCCCAAGTGTGTGTCACTGTCAAGTTAGAGTCCTTGACCGGCCAGAGCGAACGGGAAGTGCGCGGCTTGCAGGGTGGGGTGGGTGAGCAAGTCTCCTCCCGGACTTTTGAGAGGAACAGCGTTTGAAATTGACCTCGGGATCTTGGGAAAAACATTTAGAAAACTTTGTACTCGGTTCATGGCGAGAACAATCTAGGTTGCGGCAGATTAGTCTCGGCTGTTACTATTCGGAAGTGTCACTTAATCGTGCAGTACAAATCCTGTGCCTCCGCTCGCCAGTGAATTTGGCCTTCTAAACCGGAGAATGCGAGATTACTAAATTCTTCACAGCCGTTTTCTTGGCCGATAGTCCTGGTTGGTTTTTTATTCTATTCTTAGAATATTTTCTGGAGTAGGTAGAAAAAATAATTTAAAATGGACTGATGTATTTCAGCTCAATACCATTTAACAAACTCTTTCTTGCATTCATTTGGTAGGTGATTACAGGAAACGTAGGAAACGGAAAATAACTCTGACATACTCAGGTTTTTTTTCCTGCCAATCTCCTGTAACTTTAGTACATCACAGGCTGAAATTTACCTCCTTACCTTATATTTCAAAGTAACCTTGGTTGCAAGGCTTAGAGTTTCAGCGATTAATTTTTTTCTTGGCTTTTCTAAACTTTAGTCAAGCACTATATCTTACATGTTATTCGGTTTTCTTTTTTTTGCTCTCATACACTTAGTTTCAAGTCATTTTATTTGAAAATTATGTACATACATATATGGAATAGTGATTCACTGAGGACTTAAATTTTGGTAGGCTGGGTGTGGAAAAAGTTTCGGGGACTTTGGCTGTCCTGTGAGCAAAGATGGGGATTGGCTAAAATTTGGCTCTGTGCTTCTGTAGATGGGAATTTGCATTTTAAGTGAATATGTGGGAGGTAGCAGCTTTCTAAACTCAGATGTAAATCAGGACCTCAAGTATCCAGCAAAGCAGAGTTGTTCTTTGATAACCAAATAAAGTACTGTACTAAAAGATTGTCCTGAGGAGCTCTCTAGACATTTAAGTGATGTCTTTCCTCCAGCTGGAGGGACAGTGATGTGTATGTGTGTGTGCATGAGTGCGCACATGAATATTTATGCACACATGGGTGTGGTTTAAGGACCATAGTGTTAGCAGTTGGGAATAAACTCCCAGGAACCATTTTTGTTGTCTAGCACCACTACTTTCTCCTCTTCAGTAGACCAGAATGCAAATGGTTGAAAATGACTGCTGTTTAGAGAGAGCTTAGACTCCGCACTCATTTATGAATGACATCCAAACTCAAATAAGGTCACCATACAAATCGGGTCTATATAGCTTCCTGCAAAGCAAGGTCCGGGGCAGAATAGCATGGCTCAATTCATAGGCAGTGCTAAAAGAAGGGCAGCTGGGCGAGAGAGGACAAAGGACTTATTGGAAGATTTAAGTAGCAAGGAACATTAAGCTATAATGTGGGCTAATGTATCTATTGGGGTGATTGCCAATACCCCAAAAAGGGACCTTTTTGAAAATGAAGCTACTTGGTCAGCTGCTTGTGGGAAAACCCTGCTACTAAATTTTTTTTTTTGCATTTCCTTAATTTCCTTCCTGAGGTTATACCAGGGTCACCTTGTTTGGGATTTTGGCTATAATCAAAATTCATTTGCCAAAAACACTTCTTAATACATGGAGCTTATATTTTAGGCCCTGTGCTAGACACTGAGATTCCAAGGAATAATGAAATAGGTTCTCATTCATGAGAGTCTTAAGTCTAATGGGGGAGATTTATGTATATACAGATTAATTTTACATTTTTTTTTTTTTTTATCCTCACCCGAGGACATTTTTCCATTTTTTGTTCATGTAGAGTGGGAGGGAGAGAGAGGAACAGAGAGAGAGAGAGAGAGAAACATCGATGTGAAAGAAACACATCGAGTGGCTGCCACCCGCACGACTGACCAGAGCCGGGGACAAACTGCAACCGAGGTACATGCCCTTAGCGGGAACTGAACCCTGGTCTCTCAGGACCGCAGGCTGACGCTCTAACCGCTGAGCCAAACCGGCCAGGGCTACAGATTAATTTTAGATTGACCCATATTTACAATGTGAATGGCTGTTCTTGTCCATTTTGTTTAAAAATGATTGTACTTAAAAATAAAAGTAATATATCTGTTATAGAAAAATTAGAAAATACAGTACAGAAAAATAATAAACATATAGATAAAAACATTAAAGTCAACCCTACTTATCATCTGGTGATAACCACTGTTTTTTCTCAGTTTTTTTTTTCTTCTTCTTCAAATCCATTTCATCGGAAAGAGAAATACAAACAATTATCCCCAGAACAGTCTTAGTTTCTGTTTTAAGTGCCTTGCTGTTGGTTGGCATATTTTTCCCATTGTCTCTAGTATCACCTACGCTCCACTTGAAAAAGCAGTTCTGTCACATTTTCAGCTTTCCTTGTTTACTTTGTTATTGTTTTCCTATAGGGTCACTTTTGTCTACTCCAGATCTGTTATCAAAACTCTCTCTTCTAATTGTTAGGTGTGTCACCATGGTACTCCATCTGCTAAAATGTGTCACAGTTTTATGGGACCCTCCTTTCCTTCCACTGACCCAGCCCAGCCTGTCTGTTTTACACACATATGGCACTTCTGTCCCTTTTAGCCACCCTCCGAAGACTTGCAGTTAAATTAGGGCGAACCTGTCTGGCTTGTCCGAGTGTAGAAACAGCTCATGTTCTCACAAATACCTTTTTTTCCCCACCCGAGGATATTTTTTCATTCATCTTCTTCAGATAGAGTGGAAAGGAGAGAGAGAAAGAGAGACACACATCGACTGGTTGCCTCCTGCGTGACCCCGACCAGGGCTGGGAACTGAACCTCAACCAAGGTACCTGCCCTTGACTGGAATCGAACCCACCACTCTTTGGTCCGAGGGCCTATGCTCTACTCGCTGAGCCAAACTGGCCAGGGCCTCACAAATACTTTTTCTGAAAAAGACTTTATTCTGTGACTTCAGGTAAAATGGGCCAAAGGATAATGAATGAGATATGGACCAGAATCATTGCATTCGAAGCAGATTTGATGACTTTCCACTGTAGTTAGAAGCTTGAAGTCTGACCTTGATCAATTCTTTTAAATGGCTTATTGATTTTGATGGTGGAAGTAAAACAGCATAAATATTTCACATATTGTGAAAATAAATTTGTAGGACTTTGAAGAAGTAAATGTCAATGTTTTGGGTTCTTTTGTATACACAGTAAAAAACAAACTTCAAAGATGTCACCCATACGCTGCTTATATAACATCACTGAGAGGAAAAAGGTCTTGATCCAGAACCATCTGAACATTTGTGTAATTTTTTTCCCTTTTAATAAATGAATTAGTCAGAGGTGCACCATTATAAAGTTTGAGAAACATCTTGAAAATTACAGGATGATGATGATAGTAATAGTTAACATTTATTTGGTCCTAAGTGTTAGGAACTGTGCCAAGAACTTTAAATGCTCTATGTCATTAGATTATTTTAACTTCCCTGAAAGGTAGACCTATCCACATTTTATGGATGAAGTAGGACTTAGTGAGGTTAAGAAAACTACTTGAGGTCTCAAAGCTAGGAAGTGGTTGGTTTGACCTAGGAAAGGAACACAGGCCTTAACTGGAGTCTGCATTTTGCGCAGAGAAACCTGTGAGGACTCTGTTGGGCTGGACGAGCTTTTGTTGGGCAGCCACCTTTATTAACTTAGGCAGTTGTATTTTTTGTATTTGCTTTGTATAACTAGACTACTAGATACTTCTTTTTTTTTTTCTTTTCTTTATTGACTTTAGAGAGAGAGGAAAGGGGAGGGAGAGAGAGAAAGAAACATTGATGAGAGGGAACATCGATTGGCTGCTTCCTGCATGTCCCCCAACTGGGGATTTGGCCCACAACCTGGGCATGTGCCCTGACCAGGAATGGAACCAGCGACCTCTTGGTGCATGGGTTGACGCTCAACTACTGAGCCACACCGGCTGGGCATAGACTACTAGATACTTTTTTGAGAGTAGAATAATCTTTTATTTCTTTGTAACTGCATAACAACTAAACTTTTTGTGCATGACAGATACAAAAAAGTCTTGATACATAATAAAGTCTTTGTCTGGAAGGTGAGGGAGACTGTGGTTGGGTACATCTTGCAGCTTCAATATAAAGTAGCAAAGGCTGGAGGCACTGTCCATCCGTAGTACTTCTTTTTTTTAAATCCTCACCCAAGGATATTTTTCTACAGATTATCAGATAGAGTGGGAGGAAGGGAGGGAGGGAGAGAGAAAGACATGTCAATGTGAGAGAGACACATCTACTTGGTTGGTTGCCTCTCGCATGACACTGACCAGGGCCCAGACCAAACCACAACTGAGGTTTGTGCCTTTGACCAGAATTGAACTTGCGACTCTTTGGTTCATGGGTCGATGTTCTAACCGCTGAGCCAAACCAGCCAGGGAGTTCAGTTTTATCCATACTACTACTGAAAATAGTGGGGTCCCCTCCCTTTTGTGTTAATATTTGTGCTTGACTTCCATGGGACTAGTGACAAGCTTTTCTGACATGCCTTTGTTA